AATATTAACATGAATAATGTTGATAAGAATGATAAGGAGCTAGAAATAAAAACTGAAATATGAGTATTTAAAGGAAAAATTACTAGTTTTAGACAGATATTCGAAATTCAATCCAAATTATAGAACTAGTAGTGTAAAAACTGCTAACACTTACAATGCTTGCTCAAAAGCTAAATTGAATTGAAAGAAATTGAAGAAAGTGAAGCTTATGCATTTCTTGAGCCCTTTCTTGGTGGTGTGGCTCTTCTACGAGAGAAGAAAAGAAAAATTGCTGCTGGAGAAAAGAAAAGGTCCATTGCTTGCATGGCCCCTACAAGAAAGAATCCATGATCTATCTATGCGGCTGCTGCTTATATTTCCGAAAAGAAAGAATGGAGAAACACAGAAAGAATGGAATAGCTGCTGCGGCTGATTCTTCCAGGACGGAAAAAAATTGCTGGTGCGGCTGCCAGTTCGTATGCTACCAAAAAAAGATGAAAACTGAACTCCCTGGTGCAGAAATATTCAAACTGCTGCACTTTTTTTCTTTTTGTTGGGCTGCTATGCCAAATTGTTTTTTCTTAGATACACCGCAAATTCGGCCTGTACAATCACAACTCACCGCACCCGCTAAAAATATGCAATTTTACAATCAAATTACTCCAAAAATGTCAAATTTTGTAGACAAATACTAAACTTAAAATGAATGGCACCGGGACCGAAAAATTACAAATCTTCATTCAAACTCCCAATAGTCACCCGATTACTTATGAAAATTAGACAATTAACACCCAAAATATGGGTGAAAGGATAGGAACGGAACAAGCCTATCAAATCTCCCCACATTTGAGCGTTGTTTGCCCCTAAGCAATAGTGCATTAAACCCACAAAAACAAAATAATCATATGTAACGCCTGGGTTCAAAAATCATTCACACCCAAAATAAATGACTGCACAAGGTCTTTTCTTTCTTGACAACGAAGCCAAGATTCACCTGTTAAACAATATTATCAAAAGTAAAATCCCCCTCCAACCGACTAAAATGTAGAGAAAAGCATGATGGTCCCAACGGTGTAGGTGTGTGAAATCCAAACCACCAATCATTCCAAAAACCCAAGAATTGTGTGATAAAAACCGGTATGCTCGTGATTCAATTTTTTTTGAATATGTAAAGTTGTCCAGGTTCTGGATTACAGGGCTGATTCAAGCTATAGGATCTGGGAGTTTATCTCATTACTATGCATACTCAACTCTCACACGGGGTGATTCACGAGATGAGCAGAGCCCCTTTTCAGAGATGAAATTCTCGACACACGAAGTGTAACCCCATAACAAGAATCAGTTGCCCGCTTAGCATGAATTTATCCCGATATGCTTAGAAAGAAGAGCTCCTTATGGAGTAAGAATTTTCAACACATGACCAGTCAAGCAATTATTGATGATGAACTAGTGAATCATGAGTAAAACCAAATTTAATCAACACAAGTCAAACCATCCAACATGCCAACATTCCCAAGAATACACACACCACCCTGATGATTACATCATTACTAATTATTTCCAAGAAAGATGGAGGAGATGGAAGATTACAAAAGAAAATAAAGATTAACAAGTTACCTTTGTTGCGTTGCTAAACAAGAAAAGAACTTGTACACCTCAAAATGTTGTTGGGCAGAATAACTTTATCACCAAATGTCATGTCTGAACTACAACCAAACCTCCCCACACTTAGGGGTGACATCGCCCTCGAGATCACAGAAAAGATTAAAACAAAAATAACATGGACAAATTAACGAGTAAAATGATTCTCAACCCAGCAACACATCATAACCAGAATAATAATCAGCACAAATCAACAAAGGAGTAATATGACAGTAAGCCCAATTTTTTAGCAGCGTAGTAAGAGTTGACAGATTACCGTATAAGCCAAACTGCAGTGAATAACCTCCCGATTAACATAAAACTCAGCATCTGATAGCCCCTCGGTTTCTTGTGGTGAGATATTCGGTCTTAGAACCATGATCTGCAAGCTGAAATGACTCTCCTAGATGTGTAGATGTCGCTGAATCCTGCCACTGGAATGCTGCAATAATACTGAGGCTGGGCAGTTTGTCCAAAGTGTGGTGAACCAAGGTCCAATTTGAAGTGCAGACTGTTGTTCGATGAACTTGCTCGCAATTTATATGCTGATGTGAAGGTTATTTCCCATGAAGAAATGGAGAATGTGTCAAGCAAGTCTGGTCTACTGTCAACGGGCAGCTGGTTCGGCCCTCAAAAATCAGCATGTGATGTCACGCCCCGGACCTACCCGGACACGTCAACAACCCGCCGTATAGTACGAATAGTCAACCGCAGTCCAACTCATCCATACTATACAAGACGTCTTGAATTCCATTCACACATAGTACATCCATAAACAAACATAATGTAAAACATTCATTTAAAACAGCGGAAGCATTTAATAAAAGTGTCTTAGCCACACTTTGGCAAACATGGGCATACAAGCCCCCAAATATTTATCCAAAATAATATCCATGAGCATTATTATAATTGTTTTGAAAATAGGAAACAGAAGAAGCACGAACCACGTCTCCTCCCCTGAATATCCCCGAGCAACGGGCGCCGGTAGCAACCTTCAAGTTCTACCTGAAACTGTGAGGTGGCCTCCCCCGTGAAGGGGAGGTCAGTACTTGGAAGCATTTGACAAGTACAATGACAACTATACTAAGTATAATCAACGTTTTAATTTCCAAGACCCCCAATATAGGGTGATATCATAATACAATTAATAATTTATATTTCCCACTTATTATCCTTATAATAAGTAATTTCATTTATTTGTCGGCACACGGCCCTTCTTATATATTCCCTTTCATTTATCATTGCACAACCCAACCCTTGGGTCTTATTATTTCTACGGGACTTGCTACCGCTGTCCGAGACCTCATGAGGCTCTCGGTTCGGACTCCAACATCCCGCCCCTGGACTCATACCCATCATCCCGTAGGAAGGTAAGGCCCTTCGGGGTCCTATCTTATGTGTTACCGCTACCGGAACCTAGTTAGGTCTCCGATTCGGATTCCACCCTAACCCGTGATCACGATGCAAGTCCATGCTATCCAACCCCGCTCTCTAGAGTCGGGAAGGGCCATGGTCCTTACTTATTTCCATAATTCAACTGGCTATCCTCAAGGACTACCGAACACACCCGTAGGTCAATCCTATATCTAGGATCAATTTATTACTTACTTTTTCTTGGGTATCCCTTAAGGCCTACCCCTAGTATAACTTAAAGTTCATACTTTCCTACCTTAAAGCATCTCTTAAGACTACTTAAGGCATAACATTTCACAATCCAACCTTAGGATCAATCTAAACAACATTTCATTTTAATGTCCAACTAGTATCTTACTAGTCAAATTAATTCCAACAAACCAAGTTCTCAACTCATAGTCATATTAACAATTCCAACTGATTTTCCTTTGAAAATATCATTTATCTCAATATTCAAAATATCACTTTTAATCACTCATATATTCTAATATGAAGTAAAAAGTATATCTCAACATATGTTTCATAATTAATTCTTCTCCCAAGTCAACATACTCATAACACATGATCATACACAATTTACTCTTAAATTTGTATATCATGCTCCTTTTTCTCTATAGACATTAGTCTTCTCATTCTTAGGCATTATTAATCATTAATAATCCATAAAAACACATTTAATTACCTTAGGTAATCTCATGAAATTAACTCACTAATTATAAGCAATATAGTCAGCCATCCTCACCTTATGAAGTGCTGAAATAGTTGTCTTTGCTAAGCCCCTCGATCAATCCCCGTTCTAGTCTGAATGGAAGTGGAAAACTGGACTGCTGGGCAAAAGTCGGGCGGCTTTCACGAAAGCCGGGCGGCTTTCGTAGTCTGCAACTACGAACAGCTCCTTTGGAGTGGCGGTTTCCGGCGATTTCGACTCCTATCGATTTGCCAACCCTTCTAAGTTAATTACCACTACTTTATATCAATATTCTACACTTTTAAACGTGTAGAACTCATGGTTTAATCCACCATATGATTCCTTAAAAATCATACACAATAAAGTAGTTAAAAGAGGGTAGATGAGTTCTTACCTTCCTCTTAGCTAGTTTTCTCCTAGGATTTCCTTCTTCCAGGCTTCCACCAACTATGGCTTTGCTGAGATAGCTTCCTGGAGTCTTTCTCTATTCTCTTGTGTTGGCTGAATGAGTGGAATGGGAAGGGGGGAGGTACCTCTACTCAATTAAGCAAAATGATGCATGAGTAGGGTCCTAAAAATGGCTAATGTGACTCATGTCATCCCTTCACTTAATAACTCCGCACACACACACTTTCTATGGTCTCCTCCAGCTCTCCCCTTGTCTGCTAGAGCCGATAGAAACGTGGGGTGGCCCCCACTAATGTGGGAGGCCATCCCATTGTGTCCCGATGTGTATAATCGGCCCCGAAAGTTGTATTTCTCGGCACGTTTTAATCATATTTTATTTTATCGGACCAAATAAAATATATCACGCGTTCCTAATAATTACGGGCTTTTAGAATAGATGTGCATTCCCAAACATTAATTTAGGAGTCTCCGAAACTCATTTCGGGCTGTTATCCGCTAAATTATCAATACCGGTAATTGGGCCTCGTTTGACCCACCGGTCAACTCTATGCCCTTCCCATTGCCCAATTAAAATATCCACCTCCATATAGATGTCACCTAGACCAAGATGAATATAATATGTGGTTCGGGAATTATCGGGCGGTCCCCGTTCCCGCTGTGGGCCCCACATGCAATTTACTATTCACGTAAAAGAGATAATAAAATTTAACAATTACGTAAATTCATAACTCATCCTTCAAGGTTTATTACATAATTTACTAAAAGTAAACATGCTTGGGGACGGTGTCACATGTGATGCCATCCCGAATCTCCCAACAGGTGGTCATCATTTTGTTTAGGTAATGGTGGAGTATTAACTTCTATAAGGGTTTTCCCGCTGCGTAGTGTAACAGCCTGCACTTGCTCCCTTTGATTGGGTTCTGTTGAACTCGGAAGGCTTCCCGGTTCTCTAGGAGCAACTGAACCAAGCTGGCGGATAAGAGCTTCTAGGTTGTTGAAACACTGGTGCATCTCCGCTTGATTTTTGGCTAATTCAGCCACTGTTTTCTCCAACGCTGCATTTATTGGAGGTGATTCAAGCTGTCTTTAGTGAGCGGGCTGATTTGAATTGCCTCTATTCTGGAAATTTGCTTGGAAATTAGGAGCATTCCGCTGCCCCTGATTCTGATTTTCAGGTCTCCACGAGCTTGCTCCTGGCTGAAAATTTGCTCTCTGAACTTGATTGTTGAAAAACTGGCCACCAGCTCTCTGGCCTTGACCGTATTCCATGAAATTCACATCACGGACCACTGGACCTGCCTGATTGTGAACATAAAGAGGGCATGTGTGAGTGAGGTGGGCTCCCATGCACATTTCGCAAGATAAAGCTAGTTCTTGGCCAGTTGGACTTAGATAACTTACTCGAACTAGAAGTGGGGCAGAATACATAGGATAAGAGGGCTGATATACCCCAATATTATGAGCATGTTGCTGCTGAGAGGTTTGTGCCTTCAAGTCCTTGACATCCATTGCGAGTCCCTCGATCTTCGCTGTGAGTGCAGTGATGGGATCTAAATTGAGCAAACCAGGTGGATTTTGAGCTCTCTCCTTGTCCGCATACGAATATTTATCATTTGAAGCCAAATTCTCTATTATCTGTTCTTCTGCCTGTGGGGACAATTTTAGAAACATACACCCCCGAGATGCCCGGTCTAGTTCTCTCATATACTCTAGCCGAAGACCATTATAAAATCTGCACATGATGGTTGCTGAATTCATGAATATTTCTGGACACTTCCTTCTCAGCGTCTTCAGCTTATCCCATGCTTCACTGAAAGTCTCGGTTAGAGCTTGAGTGAAGTTGAGAGTTTCTGTCTGAACTTTGATAGCGGCGGAGGGAGGAAAGTACTCCTGCATAAATGCCAGATGAAGCTTCTCCCATGTATCAAAATGCCCGTTTGGAAAGCTACGGAGCCACCACGATGCCTTATCTCTCAACGAGAATGGAAATAAGGTCAACCTCACTGCCTCGCTGGATATCCCATTGTATTTGAATGTGGCACAAGTCTGAATAAGGCTCTCAATATGCTCCATTGGATCTTCATGAGCGTATCCACAGAATAGATTATTGGCCAGCATCTGAATCATGGCCGGCTTGATTTCAAAATTGTTCAAGTCTTCTAGCAACTGCCTTTTAGCTCTTCCTCGGAATAAGCGTTCAGGATTCGAATAACCTGCAATTAAATCTTGTTCCCCCGAGGAGCGAGTGTCCATGCACTAGTTCCTGCAACTTAGTTCACACGCACCAAAAACGACAAACAGACAACACAAAAAATAGAAAGTCTCACCGACTTGCTTTTACCTATTCCACAGAAAGTACTAACAAAAAATCGTGCCACTCCCCGGCAACGGGCGCCATTTGATCGTGATATTTTTTTAGTGAGTGAAACGTAGTTGGCTAATCCTAAGAATAACCAGACAATGAGTATCGTCTCTCAAGGAGTGGCAAAAAGGAAATTTTAAATACGATCCATGATCACAGGCTAGCACAAGTCATGGTAATCTTTCCAAATAATTATTTTTGGATGGTAAAAAAATAACAAACAACAAATGCAAAAATAAAACGAGTACAAAAACTTGATTCTAGATTTTAAAACAGGGCTCAAATTGGAGGTTCGGGTTCTGGGTGTTCTTTCGGGACTAAAATTAAGTAAATTAATTTTCAATTAATCCTAGATAGAAAATGAAATCAATTCTCATGGACAAGAATTCAAATATATTATCACAATCCTAACTTATTTCTAAGATCAGATTGCCTGTATAAGACTCGTGCTAATTTAACTCAATTTCTCATAGACAATAATTGAATTAAATCCAGAGATTCATATAAGAGGTGATCAAATTCATATAGACAATCATGACCAATCTTATACAATTTTCCAGAAAATTAATTGAATTTCAAAAACCAAATACACACACTCAAGAACCCATGAACCCTAGCCCCAATTCAAACCCTATATGGAATTAGCTACTAATAATTAAAATTAACATGAATAATATTGATAAGAATGATAAGGAGTTAGAAATAAAAACTGAAATATGAGTATTTAATGGAAAAATTACTAGTTTTAGACAGAGATTCAAAATTCAATCCAAATTATAGAACTAGTAATGTAAAAACTGCTAACACTTACAATGCTTGCTCAAAAGTTAAATTGAATTGAAAGAAATCGAAGAAAGTGAAGCTTATGCATTTCCTGAGTCCTTTCTTGGTGTTGCGGCTCTTCTACGAGAGAAGAAAAGAAAAATTGCTGCTAGAGAAAAGAAAAGGTCTGTTGCTTGCATGGTCCCTACAAGAAAGAATCCATGATCTATCTATGCGGCTGCTGCTTATATTTCTGAAAAGAAAGAATGGAGAAACACAGAAAGAATGGAATAGATGATGCGGCTGATTCTTCCAGGACAGAAAAAAAATGCTGGTGCGGCTGCCAGTTCTTATGCTACCAAAAAAAGATGAAAACTGAACTCCCCGGTGCGGCTGCTCTTTTTCCATAGGAAAAAAAAACCCGAGTTTTTTTCCGTATTAATGTTAATTAATTTATTATTTACGAAAATAGGGTTGAGTTAAAAGTATTTACCAATATACTGTTGGGTTAACCATGGTCGGGGTAAGTCGCCCAACCGTTGGGCGACTTTCCCTTAAGTAAAAACATCGGTCAGCCACAAAACAGAACGATGTAAACCCAATCCCCAAATCCCCCAAGCCGCAGCGACGAAGAATGAAGGACGAAAAACGACCGAGCGAACCTCCATCTCCGGTGAACCTCCATCTCCGGCGACCCCACTCTGGCAAACCTCCATTTTCATCTTTAACACTCTTTCTTCTTTTCTTGTAGGTAAATCAAACTCCATTTCATCTCATTTTGAACTTAGGGTTTTGAATGATAAAATTTTCGAATTTTTAGATTATGAATTGATTGTGAATTGAGTTGTTGTGGAATGTGGATATGTATGAAATGTTGACATTTGATTTTAAATTGATTGTAAATTTTAAAGTGTATTTTGACATTTGGGCATTTTTGGTAGATTTGAATGTAGCTAAATTTGCGTATTGAAATGTAGACTTGAATGTAGATATCAAAATTTGGGTATTTTCATATTGAAATGTGAGTTGTTTGTGAATTTTGACTTTTGGATATATTAGAATTTTGGTAGTTTTTTCTTTTGAAAATTTGAATGTGTATAAATTGTGTATATTGATGTCTACTCATGATAGTTGGACAATGAATTATTATTAGAATATGGATTTCTCAAGCTTCCCAATCATGTGTAATTGGGGAGGGAACTATTACGAGGGTGCTGGGCAAATATGCTATGAAGGTGGTAGAACCACAATTTTCATGGTTTCTCGTGGTGCTTGCATGCTCGAGATCCTTCAAAAAATACATGCAGCCACAATGATTCATCCTAGCCGTTCTTTGCGTTTGAAAATGAAATTTCCCATGAACGGGGAAAGTACATGCTTATGCCCCTCATTGATGAGCTAGCTATAACAAATATGTGGGGCATAGTTCAGATGGAGGACATGTCGACGTTGGAGATATACATTGAGGAATCCAAATGTGACGCTTATGGTACTCCATCAACATCAAATGTTGTTGTATCTAGGCATTATGTCAATGCAGGTGTGAATCCCGAGAACTCCTCAAATGCTCCTGTACTGGACATGGTTATACAGGAAGATGGTAGGTATTTGCATAACAGTGTATCATTTGTGGATGGGTAGGGAAGTGATGATGATGCTGACGACAACATCAATGGTGATGACATGACAGAATCTGATGAAGATGATGGTGATACGGTCATGGCAACTGCCCCATCTAGCCACTTTACTAGAATGTATGATCTCCCTGGAGGCTTTACTAATGCGTGGATGAGTGGATGAGGTGAGAAACGGTTTACCCCCGAAGGTGAGTTTAAGGCCGGTCAACAATTTGACAACAAAGAAGAAGTCATCAATATGGTGAGCTTGTATTCTATCAAACGGAACCAATTTTATCGGGTGATAGAGTCCGATAAACACAAATGGGTGGCACAATGGAAAAGGAAGAAAGAATGTAATTGCCCGTGGAGAATACGCGCCACAAAGAACAAAGGCAACCTTGACACCTTCACAATTGTGGATAAGTTTTTCACATCTGACCAATACGCGGCCACATATCATAGAGTCTTCAAACCCATTCCTGATCGGGATTATTTGCCTACTTACAATGGACCTGAAATCGGGCACGATCCATCCATGCTTTGGGCTAAGGGAAGATCTAAGTCGACATGTATTAAGAATGAGATGGATGAAGGTCCCCGAGGAACGTTTAGATGTGAAAAATGCCACCAAACCGGCCATAATAGGGCCACATGTGCGAAGAGAACGTCAACACACGATGGGGGGTCTAGTGGGTAAGGTTTTAATCAATAAAATGGATGATTAAAAAAAGAATTAGTATAATAGTAAAAATTAACTAATACAATTTTGTTTGTTTGTAGGCATGGAGGTGACATCGGATCCTTGACCGAGTGATCGTTCTATCCTGACATTGCAGGCCTCGCACAGGACTGAGGACCACGACCACGGCGTAGGCGTAGACATCAGCAGCAACATCTCCATGACCACGATGATCAAGATGACCATGAGAACTTGTAGTTTGCCTTTTGTATTGCAGTTTTTCTTGTACAGTAGATGTTGTAGGAACAAGTTACAACATTTTACGTATTTTCTCTTCTAAACTCTTGTATGTTGTCTTGATGTGGTCGAGTATGAATATTAGATGATTACTTGTTATGAATATTGGATGATTGTAGTGTGTTTTACCGGTTATGAATCTAAGGTTATGTATTCAATTTGTAAAGGGTCTTTACAAGGTGTTTTGTATGTTGTTGAGAGTAATGTTATGTATGTGTTTGTGAACAGGTGTGTTGTATGTTTTATAATGTGTTGTATCTGGCTCGTAACACTTAAACATGAGAAGGGAGACCTTATTTATAGCAAGCAGGTGACTTTGTGCGTGGCTGACAATAGCTGCTGGTCTGCGTTCATATGGAAGAGAAAGTCGTCCAACGGTTGGGGCGACTTATAAGTCGCCAAATGATTTGGTGACTTATAAGTCGCCCAACCGTTGGGCGACTTTCCCTGACCATGGTTAAACCCAGCAGTAGATCGGTAAATACTTTTTTTCCAGCATTATTTTCGTAATTAATTAATTAATTAACATTAATTCAAAAAAAAACTCAAAAAACCTAGCCCTTCTCTTTTCCTTTTTGGGATGCTAGTGAAATATGCAAACTGCTGCACTTTTTTTCTTTTTTTTGGGCTGCTATGTCAAATTGTTTTTTCTTAGATTCACCGCAAATTCGACCTGTACAATCACCACTCACCGCACCCGCTAAAAATATGCAATTTTACAATCAAATTACTCCAAAAATGTCAAATTGTGTAGACAAATACTCCCTCCATCCCTTAAAACTTTGCCATCTTTCCTTTTTTGGATGTCCCAAAAAACTTTGCCACTTTCCCTTTTAATCAATATTTTGTGGTTTCTGTTATTTCTCTCTCCTCTGCACAAACCTCAACCACACAGTTTTTACTTTATTATTCTCCGTGCCAGTCAATTTTGGCAAATTTTAAGGGACGGAGGTAGTACTAAAGTGGAAATGAATGGCACTGGGACCGAAAAATTACAAATCTTCATTCAAAACTCCCAATAGTCACCTGATTAATTATGCAAATTAGACAATTAACACCCAAAATATGGGTGAAAGGATGGGAACGGAACAAGCCTATCACTAATCACATGTTTAAACTCCTTTAAACATCATTATGAATAATTATAACATTTCTTTAGGTAACTTATACTTAACCCAAGAGTTACAAGACATTAAGCCATCCACTCAACTCGAATGAGCTTTAAGAAGTTCTACCTTCTCAGTTGAACTCCGGCGAAACTCCGGCGAACTTTTTCTAGCTCCGGCGATTACTACGGTGACTCTTTAAACTCTGTGAAAGTACTAGGAACACCTTAGACAAGTTCCTAACAAGGTTTTATCATCACAAAACTCGTATCAATACAAATAACCTCTAAAAGGTTATTTTCCGACGAACCGGTCACTTTGGCTTCTAAGTCCGTTCTTGAACTTAGAACTATCTTTCAACCCCTCATTCTACACTTCTAAACATGTAGAACAATACTAGAGGTCCTCCATATGACATATTAGTCATATGATAGATAGAAAGTAGAGGAAGAGTCATTATAAGGTCATTACCTTAATCTCTCACATTTTCCCTAACTTTTTCCTTCTTCAGTATCCTTTCTTGGACCAACCTTGCTTCAAATTGATTTGCACCAATGGAGGATGGACTTATAGCTTCTTTTCTATCTTTCT